TTGCCCAGCTTGCCCAGCCCTAGTACCATCAGAATGATTTAAAAACTGATAGGTTAAGGTAAATAATAATAATAATAATAATAATAATAATAATAATTAATGGAATTTACTAGGGATGCACCGAATGTTTGGCAAACCGGAATTATTCGGCCGAAAATAGCAAAATAATCTCTTTCGGTGTTCGGCCAAATAAGCGAAAAGGCCGAATAAATTGTACCGAACAATGAGGTGACGCGATCAAATAGAGGTGCGCACTAATGCAGCAAACATGTCAGCAGTGTGGAAGCATTTAAAATTGTCCGTGAAAGACACAAACATCATTACAAGCACCGAGAGCGAGAGACTGCTTAGCACTGTATCGCATGTCTCCGATGAGAAGAGGAAGGGTGGTTGTTGCTGGTTACTGTAATTGCGAAATGGCCTTAAACAATTAGTAAATAAACTGCAGAACGTTATGCTTTCTAATACACGCACGGATTGCATGTATTCAAACAACACTGCACGAGCTCAGTAAAGTAAGAAAAGTAAGACAATAATAATGATAATAATAATTACAACAGCTCTATTAATACATGTATTATAACACTCACACATAGTGTTCAAATTGGGATCTGTAATAGTTTCTAATGTTTTAAAAGAAGTCTCTTCTGCTCAAGCAAGGCTGCATTTATTTGTACAGTAAAAATACATAACTGATTCAAGGGGGTCTCAAAATGGCCAAAAACATATTATTTTACTAACTTATTAATTTTAAGTTAAATTGTGCTTTGTTGGTATAATGTCTGCTGGAATGTTAAAAAATGTTCAGTGTTAAGTAAATATTTTTAAACTGTTGTTTTGTAATTGTTGTTTGATTTTTCTTTGAAAAGCTAGACAAAACAGTAAAAAGCACATTTTGGCTATTTAATTTATGCAATGGTGAAAAAATTGGCAAAATATATGAGGAAAAAATGCAAAAAAAACATGTTCGGTATTCGGCCTTCAGCCCAGTGTTTCAGTTTGTTCGGCTTCGGCCAAGAATTTTCATTTCGGTGCATCCCTAGAATTTACATTTAGTTGCCTTAAAGATTTTAATTTGTGACTTCAAAAATGTATTAACGTTAGATGAGAATAATTTTAAAACTGATATTTCAAGATAAATAATAATAATAATAATAATAATCAGAATTTACATATAGTTGTCAAAGATTTTAATTTGTGACTTTAAAATGTATTTAAAAAGTCATTGTAATGAATGAAACCTTTAAAATGAACTGGAAATCAAAGGAATCAATAAAATCCTTGAAATTCACATGACTTTTTATTATCTTTCAAACATTTTATTAATCCCCATTACCTTTAAATCAGTTATTTTAAATGAATAATTCCATGACTTCAAAATTAAATTAATTAATTCAGAATTACATTTATTTTTCAAAAATCAAAGAATTTATGAATTTGCATGATTTTAACAGAACCAGTGTCTGGTTACTCAGAATACAGCAACAATGTACTCTAGACTGTCTTCACTAATGCTTAACATCATTCAACACCTGCAAGTCTGCTGAATGTTTTATATATTGCCTCATAACAACGTGTCCTAAAGTTAATACACGACCCAGGCAGACACCCAGCAAGTTACTGCAGGAGTTCTAACGAAAATGTGCTCTTTACAACTACAACATAAGAAAGACGTCATTCCTGAAGGTCAGTCATTTTTTGCCAACGGCTTTTTAACAGATTGAAAGCCTTTAAATTGGATGAGTCTGATCACCTGCAACTGGGCATCACTCATTTTATAGGATGGAAAGTTAATGCATCTTTGTATCTGGATCAGTACTATAGATCATTGCAATGGCCCCTGCCTGGAAAGTGTGAGACTGAGAGGAAATGTGTGTGTGTGTGTGTGTGTGTACAGGTGTAGAGTCGGAAATAGAGCTGAGAAAGTAGAGATGACAGAGAGAGAGTGAGAGCAGAGTTGTGTCGGCGTGTAGGAGTGAAGGAAAAGTTGGTGAGTGTGCGAGTCGGAGGCTAAACAATGACAGATGAAGACTTTGCGAGTGAGTGAATGCATGTGTGATTGAGTTAATAGCCTGAGGCTGAGAGCTTAAGTGAGACTTGGAGTGCAAGTGAAAGAATCAATGAGACAGTGAGAGAGTGTGTGCGGGAAAGGTTGAGCCAAAACCGGCCAAACTTACTTAAATTAGCAGATTGGAACAAATGAATTACATGCTATGGAAAGGAGGTGTGGATGAGCCTATAATACATGTTCCTCAGGGACAAGTGTGTTTACATCTTACCATTCCTCAGGTTTATTCTTCTCAGTTCCTACTGATCCAGGTTTCACTGGTGTAACTGAGGCAGGGGAGGCAGAATTCATCCATGAAGCTGTGGCAGTACATATCCTGCAGAACAAAAAATGCCACAAATAATTTATACTGTACCATCCTCAGAGTAAAAGACGGCAATTTTAGAAATACTGTCAGTGAGTGGAAAAAAATGCAGCTCATGTAGGATTGCAGTGATACATTTAGTAAAATTCCACAAACTGCATAATTTTATGCTTATATGCTACTTTTTGAAGAAGTAAATCATCCATTTGTGAACATCAAACACATAATTTGTCTTAAATCTCATTTTGTTAAAAAATAATAATAACCGTGAATCGAATCGAAAAATCTAGATCGTGAATCGAATCGAATCGTGAGTTGAGTGATTCGTTACATCCCTAATAAATACACAACAGAGACAACAAAGAAGAGTTAAAAAACAGACACACTCTGCAGCATTCCTCACACACAAACGCATTCATCATTATTCCTCTTAGAGCGGCTGTGCTGCTCAGACAGTCTCACAATCTCAGATAGGGAGAGAGAAGTGAAGGTTATGAGGAAAACTGCCCAACGTCCCTAGGAATCTGAAGGATTTAGAAAATGCAAATAATGCAAATGAGCACTTTAGATCAGAAATAGCCGACAGCAGGACCGGGAAATGCAGGAGATGAACTGCAGAAGTCAACATTAAATGATAATACTGCCACTCATAAAAATTAATCATGCCATAAAAGAGTATTTGCATCCATTTGAGTTTATTAAAATAATATTTTCAAAACATATTTATTCAAATTTCTTTGAATCAGTTATTATCAGTAATTTAATAATTTAAAAAGTATGAAATAAAGCAACAGACAAGATTTAGCTGATTAAAATTGATTGATGATAAATATATAAACCTGCTTATTGTATATTTAAAACATGATTGCTTTAGGAGTGCTATTAAATCTCATTCTTAAAACTGTGTAATCCAAATAGATGGATATTTTATATATGCAATTAAAATACATAAATCTTGAATTCTTAAATCCATAAGTCTGGGGTCTGTAAGATTTTTTAAAAATGTTTCTGTAAGTCTCTTATACACACAAAGGCTGCATTTATTTGATAAAAATACAGTAACAACACTGATATTGTGAAATATTATTACAATTTAAAAAATATCTTTTCTATTTGATTTGATTTTAAAGTTGTATTTATTCCTTTGATGGCAAAGGAATTATATATTTTTTTATATAATTATAATTTTATTTTTAAATTGATATTTAATTTTAAACAGTTTGAAAACAGTTAAATAAATATGCTAAATATTTCTGCTGCTATGCTGCTAAATATTTCTACGTAAACAAATTTTTCATGATTCTTTGATAAAAAGAAAGCTCAAAAGAACAACATTTATTTATATTAAAAATTCTGCAACATTATAAACATCTTTACTGTAACTTTTGATCAATTTAATGCATCCTTGCTTTAAAAAAAAGGTAACACTTTAGTGTAGGGACCAATTCTCACTATTTAAACTCACTAGTTGCTTATTAGACAGCTTATTATGAACATATTGGCTGTTTATTAGTACTTATAAAGCACATATTCTGCATGACCATATTCTACATCCCTAATCCTTCCCAATACCTAAACTTAACAACTACCTTAACTATTAATAGGCAGCAAATTAAGAGTTTATTGAGGCAAAAGTCAAAGTTAATGGTGTGGCGAGAATTGGACCTTAAAATAAAGTATGATCAAAAACACTTCAGATTTTCACTTCAATTGTCTTGTTTATTTTATTATACATTATGCCATAAATGCTCAATAGAGCTTAACTTACTGTAAGCGCAAAACTACAGATAACAGTTCAAACAAAGCCATACTCTTAATTAGATTCCGGTAACACTGGTTTGGAAACTCAAGAGAATGAAGACTCGAGAGAAATGTGTGTGTGCTGAAGGTGAGGGGAGTGAAGGACTTGCAGGTACAGGAATAGTGGCAGCACAGGGGCAAATGAGGAGCAGTGTAGTCCAGCAGGAGAGACAGAGGAAAAGGGTAAGAGAGAGAAAGAGATATATATGTATAGTATGTATAGAGAGAGAGAGAGAGATGCAGTGATTTATGACTCTGCAGTGGGTCTGTGAGTCCTCAGCTGCTGCACATCAGCATGAGACTCCAGCAGCGCTGCAGTGCAGCAAATCCACTCATTAACCTCACACCAGCCACACACACACACACACACACACACACACACCTCACACCAGCCACGTGAGTCCCATACACCACACACATGCTGCTCCATACACATTCACGCTCACACACATTTTAAATCAAGGTTATGCTAATGGTGTTACATCAAACATCAGATCTCACCAGGGTAACGAGTCACTCCAGAAAAAAAAGTGTTTACACACTCTTATCTGAATCGTCAAACTCTAAAGAAAAGCTAAATGAAGTGGAAAAGATGATAAATTCAATATGGTTGCCCTGGCAACCAGCAAGAACCACAGGAAAATGGTTTCGCCCCAAAAAATGCTTTTACAATTACAACTAAGCCATACCAAGAAAATCACACTCATTTTGAGCTATTAAAAATAGCACTAGGCACAGAATTGCATATTACGTCATATTTTGTTATCCTCAAATAAGCATCTTATTTGAAAGAGGCAAAAAATTATTTACTAAACAAAGACAAAAAAAAAAAGACTACTGTTTAACAGCTCAATGCAGCTCTTTTAAGTTTTGCTTGTATTGTAAGTACATGCAACATTGGATATAGTGTATATTGACATGCTGCTATGAGAATGCTGTTATATGCCCCAAAAATTCAAAATATGAGGGCAAAAATGCCCCTGTATGGATTTTTGTCTTATAGTTCTATCATATGATATAGTTTAGAATATCTACACGATTGCAAATGTGATCTTGATTTTATACAATAGTTCAATAAACAAGAAGTTAATATTGTGTTACATTTACATCAAATATAGTCAGTGTTGTCTGTTTTTCTCAATTTTGCACGCAAAAACAGTTCCAAACAAATCCACAGCAGAACTGCTGTGCATCTGTGAACAACAATGCTGTTTTGTTACTGAATGCAACCACACTTTTTAAAAGAATTGAGTGAGCCAATGATTCACTTACCCATTAATAAAGACCTACTTCACCTCTAAATGAATCAGACATTTAAACAAATTGGTTGAATGAATGACTGAATGACTCACTCATCACTCATCACTCATCACTTGCCACCACCTACTAGCAATTTGTTTCATATTTAGAGTATCATTAAATTTTTTTTCATATAAAATCAGATTTCAATATTCAGTAAAAAACACATTAAAACCTGTTTATAATTATTATTATTATTATTTATGCAATGTTGACTCAAAATATTACTTTCTAAAGCTACTTTTTTGTAATGTCTATTTAATGCTTTTTTAATTTAACAAAATAACGTTGATATTTTGGGGGGTAATTAATTAGATTAACTGCTCAGAACATCATGTAAATAATTAAATAAAAAAAGTAACAGCTTGACAGCCCTAATTATAATAATATAGGAATTTAGGTGCTGTATTTTGTCACCCTTTCAACGTTTTTAAAACGTTCCAACACTTATCTATGTATTGCAATTAATAATAACATTAATAATTAATATTAATAATAACAACAATGAAAAAAATTGTATACACATATTATATATGCACACACACATATATATATATATATATATATATATATATATATATAATTGCTGTCAATTGATTAAAACAATTAATTAATTACACATTTTTGCTGCAAATAATCGTGACTGTTCTTTTTTTCCTAATATTTTACCATTGATTATAGCCATTCAACATTCAGGGTTCGTACACATTTTTACCAATAAATTTCCATGACTTTTGACAAACCTACATGCTATAGGCTATTGAATAAATGTGTGAATATCCATCATTTTAAAGCCAAAAGCTGCGGGAATGAGTAAAACTATGCGATATAGCCTATGCGCAATCCCGCACCGAAATTCAGGACCTGATTAAACACAATTTTATTATACAGAGCTTTGTGAAATAGATTTCAATGACTTTTCCAAAACTTTCTGGGTTTATTTATTTTTCCAAAACTTTTCCAGGCCTGGAAATTGGTGTTTTAAAATTCCATGACTTTTCCAGGTTTTTCCATGACCGTACGAACCCTGAACATTACAGTATAATTGAGAGCTATCAATTTTAACATTTATTAGACTTTAAAAAATAATAACTTCTAATTTAAGTGAACTTAAAACAATCTTCACATAAACCCATTATAATAAATGTCATTTACCTGTGCCCTTCAACAAGTATGAAATATACAGAAATTATACAGAAGTTATCAAACACAACATTTTTAATTAAATATAGATGAATCCTTAAAGCTACAAAAGTTATCGATTTCCTCTTTTTCTTTTGTTCTTTGATTCACAGACATCACAGCAGCTGGGTTAATAAGTTATTTGGCTGCTATTACTTTAAGAGCTGCCGTTGCTGAACGTGACGTGGATCTGACACGTATGCTCGTAGTTTCATTCGCACTTTAATATGAAATGATACAGGCTACAGAGCACGCCCCCATATTTGTGCGCACACCTGAAGAGTATGCGCTACGAACACAGTATAATTGCTGACAGGACAGGAATATAGACAATATAAAAATCGGAATAATTACAATTTGGAATTTTGGAATTTGGAAGCATGTCACAGGACACTGCTGTCACTTTTGTATGTATAAATGCAAATACAGATTGATCTAGGGATAACAATTTTCCACATTATGCCAGGTATGGATATGCTGGATTAAAGAAACTAAAAAGGCAAGAATACAATGAATGTCTCATCAATTACACAGTGATCATCACCTGTCAACATCTAAAACTTCATTAAGTGTGACAAAGCACAATTCAGCATTTATCTCGACTGGATTTCTACTACAGCATCACTATGATCTGTGCTCTCCTGCTTCAAGGCCAGGGGCTGAGAGATTTACAGATAAACAGGTGACAACCTCGTGACATATGGACAGGAGTAGCTCTGTAAGCGACAGCGTCTGCTAGAAGGGTAAACAAGGCGAACATCTCTCTGTGTCAATAGTGTTTATGGGGTAGGGCCGTGGCCACCTGTCCCTCGGACAAACAGCAGGCAGGATTTACAGGCGCACAGGGAGCCGCTTCCTCTGATGGCAGAGAGTGGGAAACGGCAGGGAGAGAAGCAGAGGGTTACATAAGACCAGCGCCGTCTGCGCACAGGACTGCAGGCCAAGAAGAGAGAGCAGCATGTGCTCAAAGAGTAAGAGTAACTCTAACATATAGGGGAAAAGGGGGAATGTGAGCACATGAATGGGTAATTAAGCGATGAAGGAGGGGCAGGATCAAATGGTGGTTGTGGTTAATGGAAATGAGTGAGAACAAAATCTATCCAAATTGGGAGTGGACTGGTGGAAACAGCGAACAGATGTGTGGACACAAAGTTTATTTCCAGGTGACTCTGCAGAATGTGGTGGGCCCCTATTAGGATTCAACACAAGAGCCCGAGACAAACACACAGCATCTGAAGGGCTGTGAAAGAGCTGAGAAACCAGAGGCAAAACCTCTGGCAAATAACACTGGCACAAGATAAGACTCTCAGCCCAAGAACTAACTCAAGTTGACAAGCACAGGCTTGAGCTTAGAAACAGAACAAAATACCAACACACACACAGAAGAAAAAAAAAAATCTCTGGAAGTGAATAAGGTAGAGCGCTGAAGGGATGGCCAGGTATGGCTTCAATATAGATAGGGCTTTGTGCTAGTTTTCTGCAAACAAATTAAAATTATTATTTTAAACTGATAAAATTGTAAAATAGATTAAAACATGATACACCTGCCTGTCGCTGCTTTTTTCTGACCAGTGTTATTTTAGGGTTATTTATATACTATTATATTTTGTATTAATATTTTAGCTTTTTTTTACACTTTTAACTTTCATTTTATTTTTTTTATTACTATTTAGGTTTTATTATTTTAAATTTCAGTTTTAGTTTTTATTTAGTTCCAGTTCATTTCAATGGTTATTTCAGTTAGTTGCCAAGGCAACATTTCAAATTTTCAGACAATAATTTAAAATTTTTTCATTTAATATTTGGCAACACTTTGGTTTAGGAACCAATTCTCACTATTAACTAGTTGCTTATTATCATGCATATTACTAGTATATTGGCTATTTAATAGTACTTACAAAGCACATATTAATGCTGTATTCTGCATGGCCATATTTTAGATCCCTTAATCCTAGCCCAACTTAAAGGCACAATATGTAAGATTTTTTTATTAAAATATCCAAAAACCACTAGAACAGTGTTATATATTTTGCTGTCTTGTGTACTTACATTATCCCAAATGTTTTGAAGAATGTTTAAATCCAGAGAAATAAGCAATTTTAACTAGTGACATGTAGCGTGTCCATAGTGCTTCATTCTACTACATTAATAAATCATTAGCTCATCCATGAACATGATTTCTGCCCGAGTCCTGTCAGATTGCTTTGGCTGTGGGGATGCAGATGACAACTCCCATGATTCCACACTCAGTCACGGCGTCATCAAACTACGCCTTTGCCTCTTTGTTTATTTTGAATATGCGCCCTCTAGCGGCGAAAATTACATATTGTGCCTTTAACAACTTACTAACTATTAATAAGCAGCAAATTCGTAGTTAATAGTGAGAATTGGTCCCCAAAACTAAAGTGTGACCTAATATATATATTTTATTTTAACTATTTCAATTTTTTTTTTTTTTTTTTTTTTAAGTTAAAACAGTTTTAGTTTTAGTTAACGATACTATCCCTGTTTCTTACTTGTTCAGCTTGCAGGAGACTGTTAAACAGTTTAGCATTAACACATATTGAGATTTCATTGGCATGTTATATGTAAGGTTTAATTTATTCGAAAATGTACAACTTTAAAAGTAAAATCTGCTTTTTTTTAGTACACTGCAAAAACAGCAAATAAACTGCATCTGAAATTAATTTTATTTCTAACATTATTAGAGGTAAAGAGTGGCTATTTTGGAGAGTGCTATATAAAGATTTTTTCTTTTTTTGTGGTGTGGTATGAAATGAAATGTTAAAATTAACTCATGAGTCTTAAATCACATGACCTTTTTTTTTAGTGGTAAAAGTGGTAAAAACTCCCCCAGTGCTGGGGAGTAACTAGTTACATGTAATGGAGTTACCTAATTTAATTACAAAATAAATGTAACTTTAATCTGTTACATGTACTGAAAAAAATGTGTAATCAAATTACAGTTACTTATGAAAATGTTAACGATTACAATGAGGGTTACATCTCATTCACACACACACACACACACACGCACGCACGCACGTACGCACACACGCACACACACACGCGCACACGCACATGCACGCACGCACACACGCACACACGCACAATAGATTTCTTTCCCAAATTGCATTGACTTTTAAAATATGAGACACTAATGTTTCAGGAATTTAGGACACAAAATAGCACACATGCTTATTCGATAACTGATTTATTTCCTATTTGGATTTATGTATATGCTTTATTTATTTATTAATTTTTTTCCCAAGGCATTATTAGATGCCAGTGTCTCCTGTCATACAAATATTTAATTTCAAAAACAGTATCATAGGTATTAAACTATATATTGTTGATTTTAAATCAGTATTTAAATTCAGAACGATGTAAATGTAAAAAGAGGTGCTAAAGTCTGATTTTGTGGTGATTGTGCTTTAAAATGTAATTTTTATAATCTTAATTCACTTGATGAACAATTTTGAAAGTCTGACAGTAATCAGTGTTGAATACTACTGTAAGGTGAACTTGTTTAAATGTTGGAAAATAATGAGAAATTTAGAAAAGTAATCAAAAGGTAAACAGATGTAATCAGTTACATTACATTAATAAAGTAATTTAAATAGTTACACTACTTATTACATTTTAAATAGGGTAACTTGTTATCTGTAACCTATTACATTTCCAAAGTAACCTTCGCAACACTGTACAACACATGAGCATGTCATGACATATGTTTTGGAGAGGTGAGTCTTTGCTACATACCCGGTGTTCTCTGGCAGGGATGTGCTAATGGTGGCGTGATGATTCTTAGATTTCATGGGGGGTGTTCCAGAGGCGTTCGAAGACTGGGAGGAGACCGACTCATTACTGCTCACTGATGTCTCATCATTAACCAGGGCTGGACTCTCAGAGGATGGAGAGACTGTCAGAGCAAGGGAGCAAGCAGCAACAGACAGAAAGAATGGTAAGGAAAACAAATAATGTACAAAAGACAAAAAATGTATAAAAGACAACATGACAATGAAAAAAGACATATATTGAGAGAGAGATAGAGAGAGAGAGAGAGAGAGAGAGAGAGAGTTCAGAAACATTATTGACATCAATTAAGACTATTAATGAATATGTTATGTGAATACTCTATAGTTATGAGCTTGGTAAGTAGAAATGAGAAATGAACTTGGCATGTCAGTGTGTGTGCATGTGTTCTTGTGTTCGGTTGTATGTATGTGGTCTGGTAAAACTAAAAACTCCATGTTTAAAAAAAACTGAAGATTCAAATTAGATGGTAGTTTAATCAAAATATTTAGAAAATTATATGAACATTTTCTAAGAAATGTATTATGATCCAACTAGTAAAATATGTTTAAAGTTTTTTTTTTTAAACGGTCCTCATATTATTTTTTCCATTCAAGTGTTTTAAACAAGCTTTTCAAGGGAAAAACAATCTTGAGTGTAAGGATTCATATTGCACCTTCTTTAAAAACAAATCTTGAGGTGATATTTTGATCCTTTTCTCATCCTTTCTCGTTCGTCATGCCTTTGTAGAAATAAATTGACATGTTTTATTTCTGAAACTGACAGATCGTTATTGGTTTTAACACTCCTGTGTAGCCAACCAATGTGACTGCTGCCATTTACATTTTTGAAACCAAAAACTACTTGCATAAGTCACTGTTCTATCCTGTTCTGTCCTATATCCTAATATTTTACCAATAGAAATTGTATAAAGTATAGCATTTGGCTGGTCATGCAATACTATAAGGGTGGCCACACGTTTCACCCTAAGTTTTACATATCCCACACAAATCTAAAACCTGAAAATGCTGATGGTTTTGCTTTTTCATGAACCCATTATAAATGCACAAATTCACAGTTTTCCACTGTAGTGTGTTTATGTTGGCAGTGGCCACATCCCCTTTCTATAGTAACATCCCACAGCAGAGAGATCTCTACTAAACAAATAACCAGTGTTTACTATCTTGTGTGGAAAAGTGTGGTTAGTCTGACCCTGAAAACTGCAGCGTTTTCGAAACCCAACACTTCTTGGAAAGCTTTGCGATGTGCTAATTCACTTTGTGAAAAAGCCAATAATAGTTTGAGTACACCTGCACAGCTGTAGTGTAGAAGAACAAGTGAAGACATAAAAACCTCATAACCGCTTAACTGAAAAGTGAAACTGGAGATACGGTCTGCTTTGTTCTGTACTAAAAATAAAAATCCACTGTTCAAAACCAAAGGATAATCCTGCATTGATCCCAGTCTGAAATCATTCCTGTTGGGTGGCGTGTCAAAGCCAAATAAAGAATTTAACACTGTGAGACACATTTCTAAGCAGTCCAGGGCCACCAAGGCATCAGTTATCCACCTAAATATGGACTGGCAAACTACATCCTGTAGCCCAGAGTGACAACGGGTAATCAGCATGTTTCAGCAGAGCATCACATCTGATTGCACAGTGTGCAGTAGTCTTACATAGTCATGAACCCTCACTGAGAGAAACGTTCAAACTCCATGTGCACATAAACTGCATAAGCACTGGAAAACATGGTGATTTTACCACCAGGATTATGCAACTGAACATTTCTATCTATGAATTGCTGCATCTCTTTAATATTAAAGAATAAGTAATAGCTTAATAATTTAGATATCATATATTGTGTCTCCAGGCTCTGCAGACTTTTTTTCCAGTATTTTCTGTGATTTTGCTATGTATGAGCGTCTGTGTGGGTCTGCTTATCTTTATTTTTCCCTATATTATGCAAATACAGGCTCTATATTATGTATTTGATAGCAAACACGTTACATCTATAATTCCTTGTGGCGTTTCCCTGACCTTACAGCGCTTAAAGCTGATTAGTCGCTCGTACCTGTTTGAATATCCAGCACCTGCGGGTTGTATACAGCCAGCGGGCGATTCTGCCGGCTGAGCCTCTTGGACTGTCTGGTTGGCGCAGAGAGGGGTGTAGCAGCTAAAGATGGAGAGCTGCTCGGAGCATCCCCGAATATCTAAAAGAACAAAAAGTTAGTGGGATTTGCTGGCTAGACTGTGTTGTGCGTGTAAAAATCTAAGTAAACAGTCCGTTTAGAGCCGATGCCTGTGGAGAAATGATGATTATGCATGCGAATGTGTGGTGGTAAAAACTAATAAAGATTCTGAATGCTCTCAAGACCAGTATCGTAAAGGAACAGTCAATCCACACTCATGTATTTCAAAACCTGTATGACCTTCTATCTTACATGAAACACAAAATAAGATATCTATAGTAATGTTCAAGCACTTTTCTATATAGTGCATGGTGATTATAATCGTTAAGCAATACTTTTAATACTAGATTTCCAGGGAATAAAGATTTAATTTCAGACTGTTCCTCACTTAGAAGTAGTAATGCACCAAACTGATTCAAATTTTAAAAATAAAATAATTAATTACAATTTTCCATTTAGCCAAAAACCAAAACCGAAAACAAAGTTTATTAATTTTGGACAGTTGGGTAATTTAACTGTTTATGCTGTTCAGGGTGTAGAGTTCTCAGGTGATAAATTAAACCAGCTGTAGTATAATTATTTGGCCACAAGCCTTTTGATTTTTCAGATAAACAAACTTTACATATTGGTACTCCAGCATTATTCTTGGTCACAGTGAAGTCGGTCACTTTTACCTGACGAAAAAGATACTGACACAGTCAAAATTCATCATTGGAGAAGTGCTAATTAAAAGTCATTGTTTTGATCAATTTCAGCCCTCCAACCTCGGTGCATCACTATTCAAAAGATATCATTTCAGAACACTTGAAATATAGCACACAATATATGTGTGGAATATGTGCACATTTGTATAATAAAATATTGCACCATTTTATTATACATTTTGCACTTTTTAAAGGGGTCATCCGATGCAAAATTCACTTTTACAAGTTGTTTGAACTGAAATGTGTGTTGGCAGTGTGTGTACACAGCCACCCCTATAATGATAAAAATCTACCCAGTGTTTTTTTAAAAACCCAGATAAATAATATCCCCTTTTTCAAATCAAGCCATTCTCAGATTCTTGGCTGTGTGACTTCACACGGACCCAGGCCCCTCCCACGTTGATTGACATGGCCGTCTTACCTTAGACCTGCCCTGAGTGAGCTGTCATCAGTCCGCCATTGTTTCGACGCCGGAGCGTTTGTAGGCAAGAATGACTCCTAAGCGATTGAGGTGTTCTGTTGTTGGATGTAATGATGAACATTGCAGTCGTCATTTACTCCCGACATCTGAGCCACTGAAGACGCAGTGGAGTATGTTTGTTTTTGAAGGGAATGCGGCCCCCGATCTACCTAAATGTGTTTATGTTCGCGCGAATCATTCATGATCCAGCCTCACCTACAGAAGAAGTGAGTATAAGTTTTTTTTAATGAATTTTGCAAATGGCCTTTCCTAATAATGTGCTAGTTAGCAAGTTTCACGATGAATGCGGCTAAAGTTTACAGTCTCTCAGAGAACTGCATGTCTCCCCACGTAGGGAGAGGGACGGGGATAGCAGAACTCATTAGTATTTAAAGGGAAATGCACTGAAACGGCTTGCTGTGAAAAGAGCTGTTTTTGACAGGGTAAAAGGGTGTTGTTTTACACTACCACTGAGAAATTTTAACCTAAGTATGTTTTAGACTTTTCATTAAGACCCTAACAAATCATATCAACTTGTGGAAAATGGGCATCCGATGACCTCTTTAAAGCCTGAAGGCCATGATGCAATAAGTCAGAGATCGGGCAATGTAAGGCCAGTGTCTGTTGGCCTACTTTTTGCAGTGTTTTCTGCACCACTGGCACTAATTGGACCACTCAGCAGCAGCTTTTTAGCCGATTGAGCACGGTGAATCACCGAAGGGGACGGCGTTGAGCAAATCATTATTATTTGCTGTTAAGAATCGCGAACCAAAAAACGAATGAAAAAAAAGTGTCGAAAGCAAGCAAACAATAAAGGTGCTGCTTTGTTTACGATTTGTGTATCTGCAGTCCTAGCTCTTCCAGTTTCCCTTTTTTGAATGACAAATACAGACTACTGTCACCTGCTGATATGGAGAGTTATTTCCTCTCATGCAAGCTCAGAACATATGCTAGTTGGCTGTTGGCTGTAGTCTTTGCGGTGTGTTCATGCACAACTTTTTTGGCCTAGGTGCTCCAAGGCAATGGCAGACGGCTTTCAGTGCTGCTAGTTCTTTGATGTCATTTTGTTGTCTGGGACTTAATAACCTCTGATCCCCATTTACTTGCATTGTATGAAAGAGAGCAGTGTGAAAGTTCTTCAAAACTTCTCCTTTAGTGTTCCATGGAAAAAGGAGAGTAAAACAGTTCTGATGAGTGAATGCTAATAAAATCTACATTTTTTGGGGGTGAATTATCCCTAAATAAGAGGTGTCTGCAAACTCATTAACAGCATGCTGATAAAACAAAGCTCTCATGAGAGTTAAGCCTAAATAAGAGACCCCCAGGCATGTTGCCCAGTTCATTGAGAGACACTCAAACTGACGTGCATCTGAACGAGTGGCAGCCATTCAGTGACAACACAGGAAACCTATTTTCATAATAGCTTCGGCTTCATTATAGTCACACAGTGTTTATATTTGAACCCCAGACGGCCGGTGTGAGTGACGGAGGTTAACAGAAGTGTGGAAGTCTCGACAGGGATGAACAAAGGAATGAGAGATCTGGTAGAAGGGATAGAAATCTGATACTGCTGTGAAATTCTGCAGACGACAGCAAAGCCTGCTCTCTCTTTATCTCTTTTTCCATCTCAGTCTTTGCCCATTCCTCTCTCTCACTCTCTCAGACTCTCCATCCAGCCCTGCCTCTCTTTTGTTACCCTCTCACCCCTCTCTCTCTCTTTGCCTGAGCGACACCTGCACCACTCACCGGTCTCGAGTCTCACGGAGGAGCTCCGCCCCCACTCGTCACATAGAGTTTAAAAGTTTTAAGTCAGTATTTTTTTTTAAATAAATTAATACTTTTATTCAGCAAGGACACAAGACATTGATTAAAAGAGACATTTATAATGTAACATAAGATTAACAAATGTTGTTCTTTTGAACTTTCTGTTAATCAAAGGATATTGAAAAAAGTATATCACAGTTTCCACAAAAATATTAAGCAGCACAAATGTTTTCATCACTGATAAGAAATGTTTCTTGAGCAGCAAATCAGTGGATTATAATGATTTCTTGTTAGGATCATGTGACACTGAAGACTGGATTAATGGCTGCTGAAAAAACAGGCTTTGCCTCACAAAAATAAATTAAATTTTAAACGTATAAAAATAGAAAATGATTATATCAAATTGTATTAATATTTCACAATATTACTGTTTTTTTATACTTTATTTTTGGTCAAATAATGCAGCCTTGGTGAATGCAAAAGACTTATTTCAAAAACATTACAAAATCTTTCTGACCTCAAACATTTGAAATGCACTACAAACCTAATAGAGCTTTGGTGACACTATAATTCATAATCAAAATGCAATTCTTCCTCTGCAAATGGTTATTAATGCATATTTTGAGAAACAAGTGACACTAGTTTGAAAATTCAGAAATGGGGGGGAAAAAAGGCAGCATATTAACATTTTAGAGAGTTTGCTATAATGTAACTTTAATAACAATTTTTTTGTTTGAAAACTTTTGTCCCTGTTTCAGAACAACGCAAACAAACTACAGGCCTCAAAAAGTCAGATTACCACTTTTAAAGAGTGCACTTTGAAATAAATACACCACACACAGATAACAATTAATCACCTCTCTAATACCAATTCAGAAAACATGGCAACATTAGGTTTTTCCCTCTTCATCTCTGATGGGTCTGCAACTGCGCCAACTCCTAACGCATTTTGCGAGGACTGGAGTGGATGGAAGAGGAATTTAGTGGCGGATAACCTTCAATTGCACATCCTTGGCTGCCAGCAAATCCCACTCTATATTTTGAGGAGACACGTCTGCCCAGTCACTGATTGCCGGAGGTTAGGGAGATTATGCACTTATCTTCAATTTGCTTATATTCACATTATATAAAAATGTGAGGCCTGAGGTAAAGCCTTGTAATGATAGCTAACATTATTTAGAAATCCCTAACCCGATCTAATCTCTTACAGAAAGCTGTTGCATAACTATAAGTGGGCAGTTGCTGGATGGAGAGGAGAGGGGTAGGGCTTGTTTTCTCTAGAAAAAGGTTTTGGTCTAGATAACAGCATGGAGGGTATGAAAGTCCATATGGAGTTTTCTCTCTTCTCTCCAGAGTGCTGTCTGTCTGTTTGCTAGCCTACAGACGTTTCTAAGGGTGCTGCCTGTAGGAAGGTGTGTGTTTGTGTACTGAGGGTAAGAATGGAATGAGGGAGAAAGTTGGAAATAATGATAGAAAATAGTGGCTGATGGCCGAGAGAAGTAAAAAGGTTGGAGAAAGAAAACAGAGAATGTACACACAAAAAAATTGTGTATACAGATAGCAAGATAGAGAAAAAACAGTTTCCACTCACTTGGCAAGATGCTTGGTAACCAGACTGAGCACTAATCTGTTCCTCTCTGGCAGTTTATGAACCAGGCAGTGAATGGCCTGAACTCTAGATTCTGCGACGAATCTCTCTCAGAGCAACAGTTCCAGGCCTGAAGTGGGGGAGGGGAGGAAAAAAAAAAAAAAAAAAAAAAGGCATGAAATATGAAATGGCATGAAATATGCAATATTATTATCTATTAAACCTTAATGTAGATGTCTATGCTTAAATACTTACAATTAGATTTATAGACAAATATAAATTGCTAAATTGTAAGTTAAAAATACATTTATTTTAAATCCATTTATAATAATAATAATAACAATATTATATATATA